CATGTCTAGTTTTCTAGGAATAGTCAACAGGAAGAGTCCTATGGCTAGACCCTAGGCTATTAAGGAGGAAAAAACTAAACCTCAACCAAAAATGAGGTCAACAACTCTACATCAAACTAAGATCCTTACAAAATGTGTTCTTCATGGAGCTTCATTTTAGGACTTCTGGGGACTCTCTCTGGTTGAGCTCAGTGTATCGTTGCAATTTGGCTTGCTGATAGTGGATTTATTTAATCGTCCAACATTTAAGGAGGCTCTTACAGGAAATATTGCTTCTTTTTCTCCAAATGATAACAATTGTTTGTTTCCTATTGATTTTAAAGATCATTTAGCGAACGACTCATCTACTGGTTTTTTCAAAAAAGCTACAAGAAGAAATGGTAAATTGGTTCTGTTCTTTAATGAAGAGGAGATAATTGCTCTTGCAGATTCTTTAAAGTATATTTTAGTTGGGAAATTTTTGTTTGCTCATCTAAGGATGGAGATAATTCAGATGTTCTTAATTGTTTTGAAATTTTCTGGTTGGTGGAATGTCGGGTTGATAGATGGTAGGAATCTCATGATTCAATTGGAAAAATAATCAGATTAACAATATGCTATTTGCTAAGAAAGTCGTTCATGTTGAGAAAGTCTATATGAAGATCTTAAATAGTCCCTTGATTTCAATCCTAAAGTGGAATTTCCTCTAGTTCATATTTGGTTTCATTTCCAGGTTTGAAACCTCACCTATTTAGGATCTCCTATGAAAATTGATCATGCTAGTGTGAATTTTTCAAAACTTCTGTGCCACGTATTTTGGTTGAGAGGGATGTTACTCTACCTTTCTGTGAATTGGTGTGGACCAGGGATTCTAATTATGGATACTATATAATTTTGGAAATGGAGTATGCGCCTCCTTATTGTATTAAATGTAGAATGTTTGGGCATTGCTTAACCAATTGTTTTATTGCTCATTCAGATTTGAAGAGAACTAATTATATGTGTACTAATCTTGCGATTATCAAGAAAGTTAGTAAACTGTTAGAAATTAAAAAAATATAATCAAAGAAATCATTATAAGTGGTGTTCTTAATTGTAGTAATGAATAGTTTCAGATTATAGAAAAAGGAGAAAAAGGATAAGAAGGGGTTTTAAAGATTGATGACAGAAGGGTGGTAGTGGTTTTAGAAAATACTGATGATGAGAAAAGTAGTGTTGATTTTGATATGCGTACTAGAGTAATCTTCATATCTGTGGCCTCCTTCTCCTTGGAGGCCCGCAGCCGTGCAAAAAGAGAAGAGGATCTCATCCGGGAAGAAAAGACCAAGACTTGAGAGTCAAGCCCGATGATTCTGTGGGATTACCCTTTTTCGATAGATTCAAATCAACATGGAGACGTCAAGCCAGAATCGCTCGTTAGTCAGAGGCCCTCTCTCTATTCAATAGGTGGAGTCGTGTCAATGCATCCCACCGTGCTTTATTGTTCGCCGATGAAAGAGAGAGATGAAGCTTTCAGGGAGGAAGCGATCTCCGTCAAGGTTCGCATTAGATCCCCTACGAGCTTCTGGATGTGAACAAATGGCACGTCCTTCCACCAGAAGGCGCTAGTGAATGAATAGGTTGAAAGGCTTGTACGCCCAATCTGTGGTTGGTAGGTGCTCGATCTAACAAGAAGTACGGCTACCTGCCTAGAAGTTGTTCGGTGTTTCAAACCGGAAGTCCAAACCCCAGGCCAGTGAAGTTCAGTGGTTCTAGATTCCTGCCTCTCCGGACGGAATGTCTTTTCCTGTCCCGTCCAGATCTTTCATGACCTGGACCACACACAGATATGGAAAAACCAGTCTTTTCTGTTTGACCACTCCTGCCAGCCAGGAAAGTATTTTCTCTGCTGCCACCTGCCGCCTTTGAGAGCAAAGAATGGGATGAGGGCCAGACAAACAGAGTTGTGAAGTCTTCGACCTTCCGGAACATAAGACTTCAAAAGTTGCCTTTGAGAGAGAGAGATGAAATCGTATCAATCTCCTCCTCCTGTCTTGCCATCCTAGTTGTTCTACCTTGAAGCAAGCATCGGTCTCTGGCTTTCCCCGATGTTCAAGATGTTGTTTTACAGTATCTGTAGCGAGAGGTCTCCCCCTTCGAGAGACAATTGATATAGGAACCCTACTTTTGGAGACATCCCCATACCCAAATGGAACATCTCCCGGCGAGGAGGGAACAAGAGAGAACTGCTTGCCTGGCTTGGAAGCCTTCTGATTCTGATAATCGCGAACCTCCAAGACCTTTGGATGGGCGGTCCTTTAGACTCTGTTGGCTCCCGCATAGAATGAATCTCTTACCGAGTTCCTCAGGACCAACAAAGAGGAGTTTGTCGAACAAGAGCCACTTCACTGAATGAGGAGTCTTCTGAAGGTTGATCTCAATGTTCCACCACTACCACACTGAGTAGTGGAAAACGACAAGAAACCGCCGGAGGGCCCAGCGGAACACAAACCTCCAGATTGGGGAGGGACGGACGACCTCTCCTCTCACTCGAAGAGAAGAAAGTCGCCTCCGAACCAGGCCTGACACGCGGAGATTCTCGACACACTTCGAGAAATTCGTCGAAGTTCAAATCGAGAGGGGCTCCACAATGGTGACTACCTCGCCATGCGCGATTTTTTGTTGACACGGCTGACAAACGACGTCAATGAAGAGTCTCTCCGGAGTCTCCTACAGCGACTCGGGTCGAGGCGTTAGTATCAGTGCGCGATCAAAGCTCTCTTTCTCGCCTAAGATTCTAGTGGATCCTAGATCGAAGAAAGGGAATCTTTTTGCATCTTTCTTTGCTACGCAAACTTCTTTCCGTTGGTCAAGAACTCAAAAACTCGAGAGTTCTTCACTGACTACTCGTACAGGAAGGAGTCTTTTTCTGTCTGGAGGTTGATTTGTTCAAAACAGAATGCCTCAACTGGATAAATTGACTTATTTGACACAATTCTTCTGGTTATGCCTTCTCTTTTTTACTTTTTCTATTTTGATATGCAATGATGGAGATGGAATACTTGGGATCAGCAGAATTCTCAAACTACGGAACCAACTGCTTTCGCACCGGGGGAACAAGATCCGGAGCAACGACCCTAACAGTTTGGAAGATATCTCGAGAAAAGGTTTGAGCACCGGTGTCTCATATATGTACTCCAGTTTATTCGAAGTATCCCAATGGTGTCAGACTGTCGACTTATTGGGAAAAAGGCTACGAAGAACTTTGATCTCTTGTTTCGGAGAAATCAGTGGCTCACGAGTAATTGAAAGGAACATTCTCTATTTGATCTCGAAGTCCTCATATAACACTTCTTCCAGTCGGATCACTTGTAGGAATGAAAGAATGCTCATCCATGTTCCACACGGCCAAGGAAGCCTCTTTTTTCGAGGGGAGTAAGAAAAGAAAGAAACCTGAAATGAAGAAAAACTCTCAAAATTTTGGAATGGGTTTTTGCGGCAAAGACTGCGCAAGAGGAAGAGAGAGCTTCGACTTTCTCGGATCTGCGCATGAAATTCCCGCCGGGGAATTGAAGTCTGAATCCCCCGAAGCCGATGTAGAGGCCCTAACCAGCCTTCTCAAACTGGTCAGAGATACCAATCAAATTTCTCAAAATGGGGATGATGACATGAACAGAATCTTCTGAGATCTCTGAAGAAGAAGATTGAGAATGCTCTCCCTGGACTATCTGACGCAGTCCTTCTTTCTAAGCCTCACATAATTGGAATTTTTCTGACATTCCACCCACGTTTCCGAAATGGATCTTCTCAAATATTTCACATTTTCTATGATCATCTCTATTTTAGGTATTCGGGGAATCCTTCTTAATAGACGAAATCTTCCTATTATGTCAATGTCAATTGAATCAATGTTCTTAGCTGTCAATTCGAACTTTTTGGTCTTTTCCGTTTCTTTGGATGATATGATGGGTCAATCATTTGCTTTATTAGTTCCAACAGTGGCAGCTGCGGAATCTGCTATTGGATCAGCCATTTTCGTTCTGACTTTTCGAGTCCGAGGGACTCTTGCTGTCGAATCTATCAATTGCATTCAAGGTTAAAGATAACTAAGGGAGAGTGACCAAAGACTCAGTTCTCTAGCGCCGTTCGTTCTCTTCTTTTCTTTCTTTTTCACTTATCCCGTTCCGTTGCTGAAAGATAGATACGGATAACCTTTCCCAATGAGATTGAGTTCAACGAAGATGCTGGATAGAAAGATGCTATTTGCTGCTATTCCATCTATTTGTGCATCAAGTCCGAAGAAGATCTCAATCTATAATGAAGAAATGATAGTAGCTCGTTGTTTTATAGGCTTTCTCATATTCAGTCGGAAGAGTTTAGGTCAGACTTTCAAAGTCACTCTCGACGGGAGAATCCAGTCTATTCAGGAAGAATCGCAGCAATTCCCCAATCCTAACGAAGTAGTTCCTTCGGAATCCAATGAACAACAACGATTACTTAGGATCAGCTTGCAAATTTGCGGCACCGTAGTCGAATCATTACCAACGGCACGCAGTGCGCCTAAGTGCGAAAAGACAGTGCAAGCTTTGTTATGCCGAAACCTCAATGTCAAGTCAGCAACACTTCTCAATGCCACTTCTTCCCGTCGCATCCGTCTTCAGGACGATATAGTCACAGGTTTTCACTTCTCAGTGAGTGAAAGATTTGTCCCCGGGTGTACGTTGAAAGCTTCTATCGTAGAACTTCTTCGAGAGGGCTTGGTAGTCTTAAGAAAGGTTCGGGTGGGTGTTTAGAATAAGGCGCGAAGCGAGAATCGTCTTCATGTGTTCATGCTATAAGAAGAGCGGATCCAATACACATCAGACTTTGTTCTAAGGAACAAAGATTTTCTCAGAAATTGTGGGATGTCATGCCCCACGAGTGAGTTGCCCAAGCGGTCCAACGGAGGGCAGTCTACCACAAGATCGAGTTGGAGCCTGGAGCCAGCTGGGTTGGTTTGGCTGATGGCCCCTAGCCAGTCGGTATCCCTGTACTTCTTCTATATTGACTGAGCCGGTCCCGGATAACCTTCAAGAGATTGTGTTCCAGCGCCCGGATACATTGACCAGTTCCAGGGCCGTTACCGATCCGGTCCTTGAGCCTTTCCCAGAGAGTATCCCGATCCAGCATGGCTACCGATGTGGATGATTTACCTGGCTCGACGTATGACAAGGCCTTCGGATTCCGTTCCGACGATTGAAAAGACGGTAGAAACTCAATCCGGGAAGCCCTATCCAATATAGCTTTGATCCTTATCCAAGGCCCTGGCTTATGTGACCTAGGAGGGATAGGAGGATCGGTCGTATGCGTGGCGTGGCCTCTCGCTTCTCCCGCGTGCATTCTCAAAGCAAGAGCATCCAAGCGAGTCTACGTTCCCGTGTCTGCTAAGAGAGGAGTTGGTGATTGTATGGATCCTTTGCACTAAGACGGTGAGTGATGATTGGTATGGCCGGATGAGAAAAAATTCCCTGACTTCTTTTCTGAGCTGCATTGCTAAGGTTTCGTGAATTTCTTGAGACAGTGATCGGGCTCTGGTTCAGTTCCGTTCATACTACTCCGAGGGGGTCAAGGGTCGGCCTTTGAAAATTCTTCTTCTGTTTAGACTGGGTTATCCCACTTCTTTGATCAAGGCTCTTCTCTTTCTATTTCCCCAACTTAGAATTAGCGGGCGCCCATGTTGTGCTTTTCTTTTTTTATGTGTCTCATTCGGACAATTTTGAAAGGGACTCACTCAGCTCTGTGTCTTTCCTCTCATATCCATCCCCAACCTTCCGTTCTTCTGCCTTTGCAGGAGCGGTCTCAATTCCTTCACGGGTGTACTCTGGGTATGGATTGGAATCCAGGGCCAGCTTTCTGAATGAGAGATGATCAGTTTCCACACAGATTGGACAGAAAACCGTGCGAGAAGAGTAGTGTTCCAAGACGCAAGCTTTGCTTCTTCTGAATCGCATCTATTGTAGTATTGAAACCCTTCCAATCTATGCTCTATGCGTGAGACACAATCTACGTCTTTCATTTTTTTCTTGAGACCCCACTTTCTCTCACTAAGCATTGGTTGGATCTAAGGTGCGCTAAGGGCTTTTTGTTAGGAAGTCAAAAGAACCGCCTTCGATTCGATCAACCTTTTCACCCACTCCTCTTTTCTCATTGCTCAATTCTGAATCTATCAATTGGTGACCCATTTCGTCAATAAGAAATCAAGAACAAAGGGACAGGTGGAGATGCTAAGAGATCGTGAGCGACAGTTTTCTTCTTTTCATTCAAAAAAAAGGCGAGAGAGCTTCCTACCTCCAGTCTTGCCTTCGGAAACCGAGCCGGAAATCTTCGACCCCCTAAAGACTCAATAATAGGGTGTCTGATTTAGACTCCAAGCGCGATTGGCACTTGAGGATACCAGAAGTGCTGTGGGCATACCGAACCACCTACCGGACTCCAACACAGGCCACGCCCTATTCACTAGTGTTCGGAGCAGAAGCGGTCCTCCCACTGGAAGTGGAAATTCCATCGTTCAGGACGGCCGGGTTCACAGACGAGGAAAACACGCCAAAGGCTGGATCGACGCGGTGGATGAAACGAGACTCGCAGCCCAGCAAGCTTGACGATTTTTCTTGAGATGAAGGTGGACTCAAGCCGCTTCCTTTCTCGACCTTCGGATGAGGATGAAGTTGAGCTTGAAAAGAAGGGCTCGAGAAGTGAGACCAGACCCTAAATCATCCAGCTTTGTGGAACCGGGATAGGACAGCCGCAACAAAGAGGGGCGTTGATCGAGAAGTCTACGTTCAAGCGTACAAAAATCAAACAAACGACTATCTTTCAGTCATGATCCTCTGAGAAAAGGGGCTTCCCCAAGCCAAAGGAGATGATCTAGCTCTTCCTGGATCGGCAAGCACCGCACCAGCAGTCTCAGGTCCAGCTCTGCCCAAATCAATCTCTCTTGAGATACGAGATTTCCTGAAAGTCAAGAAGGCGCGCAGCGGGGCAAGGAATGAAGGAGCTCGACTGAACACCCACAAAATCTCTCTTTCAAGAGTGAACATTTCAATCTTGAAATTTCAGAATGGAAATTGATGTTCACTAACCTTACAATTATGCTCTACTGAAAAGCTGTGTTCATCAAGTTCGAGAAGTACTGACACCAAGCGGGTACCGGCTTCGCTAGACCATTTTGGTCCTCAGGGCTAGGCTCTATTGGGCGCTGGCTGATCGTCAACAAACTTGATTTATATACGTATATAACAGAGACTGAAAGAAGGAACTGTTAGAGTGAGCCTGAAAGGAGACGGTGACCTGCCTTTTCTTATGAGGACGGTACACTTGTAGATGACCCAGTCACATTTTCACAAGCCATTGGTGGGAAGGATTCCTCGAGGTGGTATGATGCTAAGGAGGATCTGAACTTCATGTCAGAAGTTTTTGTTTCTGAGAGTTGCCTGAAGGAGCCAAGCCCGTAGGGTGTAAATTGATAAGACCAAGAGAGACTACCAAGGTAGAGTAAGGTAGGGCCGGAAGCTCGCTGATAAAAAGAGGACTTTCAAGCACTAGTACTCAGAATACCAACTCACAGCGGATCTATTGTGACTCTAAGATGAGTTTTGAGAGAGAGTTCTCACATATCGGCTGTGAATGTGAAATAGATCTTCCCCTTCCTTTATTCCGAGTCAGGTTAGGAGTAATATTGGATTGGGGTCCATTGGAAGTTGCCTGAAGCGAGTGAGAGTACTGAAGCCTGCGAGCCATATGGATCAAGGGCGGCTAGAAAGCTAGTGCGTGAGAGCTAGAAGTATGGGAAGCTCTATCTTTGAAACCAGCTGTCTAAGCTATCGGGCTCTTTTCAGCCTGCACTTCAGTCTAATCCATCCTACTCTGTGAGAAAGTTTTGTCTTTTTAGCCAGTGGAAGGCCAGGCAAGTTCCCCTCTAGCGAAAAATCGTTCAGGTAGTATCCAGTTGCGGTCCTTCTTTCCGCCTTTCCTTACATAGTCAAAATGCTGGCGCACCTAGTCAGTTATAGGTATGGCCTTAGAGTAGCGGTCCAGGTGAGCAAATAGATTCCCTGCCAGATCTAGAATAAGCTCCGTAAGCCATTAAGAGTTTCCTGCCATACAGTTGCCTTCGGGTCACTTTGTCTAACTACTTTCTTTGTTCCTAACATATTAGGTGAAGAATGCTAAGCCCATAGTTCCTCCAGTGTGGCCCCCAATCCAGCCCTCTAAACTCCTGCTGCAATGTCAATTGGATAGCTATAAACTGCCACTGGATCTCTATATGGAAGGCAACTCCATCGATGGTCAAACATGTCCTAATCAAAAGACAAGAGTTTGGATTGAAAAGAAAAAGGAGGACTCGGCACCGGAATCCCTATTTTGATCTGGAAAAGGGGGTATATGGCTTTTGTTTCTTGAAATTTCATAAAAAAAAGAAGAGGCACGTAGTGAACAAGATTCACATATGATCCCCCTAACCTCAAACTCCACTCTAACGTCAGACGAGGAAGCGGCGTCAGAGAAAGTACCGCAAAACTACCTACCATACCTAGCCACTGTTGATGGAAAGACTTCTAGCTGACTGAGCTTCCCATTCATATGACCCTAAACCGGGCACAGTAGGCAAATGATCAGCCTCTTTCTCTCTTCTGCGGAAACAAAAAAATGGAAGGCCCGTGTCACTGACTTTGATCTACTGTGATCTGAGAAAGCTCTTATCCTAACCTAACTTCTCACCATCTTATCTTCCTCGTAAGATTTTCATTTGAGGAAGTGAAATCTCAACAAAGCGTAAGAGAATTTCATATGCTTCAACTCCAACATGACATGTAGCCGATTGCCAACCTCCAAGAAACACATCCAAGTTGTCCTATATCGATTGGGCTGGCCGGGAGAGTAGCTAAATGCCAACCGACCGAGCCTTTATGAAAAAGAAAAAACGAGTGAAGTTCATCTCTTATCTTCTTTCTATTGAAAGTAATAACATTGGCAGTTCAAGTCCGGGAATTGGCTCTCACTCTCAGCCAGAAAAAAGATCGGTTACACTCATCCGCTGAATGACCCGGTGATCCCCATATGTTCGAACATTCAAGTAGGAAAAGAGAAAAGAGGTCAGTAGGGGGAGCCCTCCATTCCAATCAAAAGAAAGTCATTCAAGATCTAGATCTAGAGCTAAAAAGGAGCATTCCCAGCTCACTCTTTTCCTTTTCAGACTAAGAAACTCAGAAAAGATCTCTTTTTCTCTCTTTTTTTTCATTCGAAAAAATCCTCTTTTCTTTCTAGTAGTTCGCTCGTCCTTTCCTTACTCTTCTCTCCGATCGCCAGACGGGTTTGATTTGTTTGGTTTTCTAAGGTAAGGGTAAGTGACTGGGAAAAAAGACGATGACGTCTGACATCAAGTCAAAGTCTTAGTCTCAAAAAAGCATCTGACTGAGTGACAGCGATCTCAATGGGTAGAAGATATGCTTGGGAAACTCCGATAGGCCTAACCGGCCTGCTCTGAGAAAAGAAAAAGAAGAAAGAATCTAGGCTCCCACTGATAGCAGTGAGTTCTAGGTCAAGCTTGCGAGTTGAGCTCTGCCTCCTACTCCTATGACTCCTCCTTATCAGATTGATTGATTATTCTCTCGCGGATCTGCTGATCTGATCATAGCATGCGTCAGGAGACATCGGAAAAGGCGCTAGATTCTTCTCTCTTTTTATGAAAAGGATTCTTTATCGACTGATCTTTTGGAGTTCTTTCTCAAGTCTCATTCCTCTAGATATTTCTCTCAATGTAGTCCCTCCAGCCCCCGATTGGAATCTCCCCTATTTAGAGGCTCTAGTGAAGAAAATTTCAGAAAAGAGAAAAGAAGGATCATCACTCCCACTTATTCTCGACTCCTGCCGCTCGCGAAGCGGAAAAAAATGCAATGGTGCAAAGGCGCTAGATAAAGGCGCTAGAAAAAAATGTCTCTTTTTTCGAGTCCGGTTCGGGCTGAAGAGACTCTGATTTTGAAAGAAAGAATTCTGTCCTTGACCCAGAAGGAAAGTTTTCTGACACAGAGGGACTGCACATTCTTCGGCCTGCTGGTGGAGCTGGTGGAAGTGAGCATCTCCCCGTCACTCTGAAAAGATATCTCGAGGAGCTTCATTCCATGGGCGCTCAATCATCCTTCTTGAAAAAAATGATGCGCTGCTTTTTGGAATCAGATGGTGACCGGTGTCAAACAAAAGGAAGGTGGGGCAGAGGAATCGACGAAGAATCCAGGAAATAGCGAAGGAAAAGCGAAGCGTGACGAGAATTCTAGACTCGAGATGTTAGAAGGTGCTAAATCAATGGGTGCCGGAGCAGCTACAATTGCTTCAGCGGGAGCTGCTGTCGGTATTGGAAACGTTTTCAGTTCTTTGATTCATTCCGTGGCGCGAAATCCATCATTGGCTAAACAATCATTTGGTTATGCAATTTTGGGCTTTGCTCTCACCGAAGCTATTGCATCGTTTGCCCCAATGATGGCGTCTCTGATCTCATTCGTCTTCTGATCGCAAAAAGGCGCTAGTCAGTCATATCTACGATCATCCATTTTCTAGTGTTTTGATCAAAGTCAATATCTCTTTGTCTTTATCTGGGGACCTTTGGCTTTTCGTCCTTTTTCTTTGAGTTGTGCCGTGGGTCAGTCATCCATTCGTACGATCTGAGTTATGGAAGGAAACAGGGGAGTTGGCTGATCAAGATGGACAGTAACGATCGCGTAATCTCAATTTCTCGGCCTCGTCATCGAAAGCGGCTTCCAATTGCTCGGAAATTCTCAGCTATATGGGGGACTTGGATGGTGAGCAAAAACAATTAATCAAGAAGTTGGTCAACTTTCGCATGATCGATGGTAAAAGAACGAGAGCTCGTGCTATTGTTTATCAAACTTTTCATCGCCCAGCTCGAACTGAACGCGATGTAATCAAACTGATGGTTGACGCCGTAGATAATATCAAGCCCATATGCGAAGTGGTCAAAGTAGGAGTCGCAGGTACTCTTTATGATGTCCCTGGGATTGTAGCCAGGGATCGTCAACAAACCTTAGCTATTCGTTGGATCCTTGGAGCAGCTTTCAAAAGACGTATAAGCTACAGGATAAGCTTAGAGAAATGTTCATTTGCTGAGATACTGGATGCTTACCGAAAGAGGGGAATTGCACGTCAGAGAAGGGAGAATCTTCATGGACTGGCTTCCACCAATCGAAGTTTCGCGCATTTCAGATGGTGGTAAAGTGATACCACATAAAGAGCTCTTCAGTCATCTTCTGAAGTCAGAAATGTTTGACTAGCGCCTTGATTTTTCTTTTCAATCAAAACTCTCGCTTTTCTTCATCTTCATCTAGAAAGAAAGTCGGCCTTCCTCAGACTCCCCCCTTCATTCATTGAGTTGGAGGAATCCACAGGAGGCCCGCCCGTTATGCATTGCATAAAATAACCTTTATTTCTCTTTTGACTCAGGTCGAATGAATACGAAACTCGATCAAATCAAGAGGCCATGAATGAAGAAGTAGTGGGCCTTTCACCTTCTTTCTAGTGACTCGTGGAGCTGAGAAATCCACTTCAAAGGGAGGGAAGCTAGCTGTCATCATCATCCGGTAGGAAAAAGAGTCGGACTATGACGTACCAGTCCCTAGTGGTGGTTCAATTTTTTGAATCTGCCAAGTCAAGGTCAACGTACGTAGCGTAGCAAACCGATCATCTGCCTCTTTCTCGTTCTCGCTCGGAAGCACTTTTCTCCGTACTACTGTACTGGACCTTATCGAGTTTGTCTTGACTTGTCGAATCTCCACCACTCCTTTCTTGTCCGGCTCTCGAAGAGTTGAGCTGGCGCTGGCCAGCAACTTTCGTGCCTGAGAATGGAAGAGGGCCGCAGGCATTCTTCGTACCTGGTCCAGCCTCACAACCGGTTGGTCAGACGGAATTGGACAAAGAAAAGAGAGTGCTCGACCGGAACAACGTCAAACCATAGAACACAGCTCCTTTCGGTCGAACCCGCCTCCAAGCTAGCGCCTTACCTTTTTCGTATATAGTCTCAGTGAGAGCTACTGTAGTCTCCCCCGTTGACCTTCTTTTCTAGATAGAATCTTCAATGAGTGGAAAGGACTCCCAGACTTTCTCCGCAGTACGAGCCTCATACAGAGCCGCGCCCTTGTGATATGATAAGAAGAAAAGGCAAGAGTTTGATTCTGAAAGTCAAGAAGAAAAGGGGCCAGGCCGCCCTCTTTTCCGCACCAACCCTGATTGTCAAATCGGGTGTATAGCTCAGTTGGTAGAGCATTGGGCTTTTAACCTAATGGTCGCAGGTTCAAGTCCTGCTATACCCCAAAAAAACCACTCATCGTAAGGATGCATAGTAGCGTTCAAAGAGCACTCTTTGGCCTTGAGACTCGCCCCTTTCTCAGAAACAACTTCGCTCGTTGTGTGAGGTCAGGAGTAGTTTCAAACTGGCTCGGTCATCGATAGGCCGGCCTTCTCCTTCTTCATTGGATAGGGCGCGGGGGAGAGTCAAGTCAAGCACTAGTGAGTTGGGGTGGGACGCACCAAAGCAGGATTTAGGGCAGTAGTTCGGCTTGCACATACATAACAGGGTGACCACGAAATAAGCAGGCAAATCGCTCTAGGTGAATAGAACCTACCTCGGAAAGAAAACTAGATAGGCTGCTTTCGAAAACTCTTACTGCAGATCGACATCGGAGGCGGCCCAAACCTAGGCTGTGACGCTTCCTGTCGAGTACAATTCAGACTTGAAGTTCGTTGACAGAAAGACAATTGCTCAAGAATGGGACTCAGTCTTGAGCAATTAGATTCTTGAATCTAGCATCAACATGAAAAGAACATTACAAAGCTATATAGGCATTGATCCCATCCATCAACCGAGAAAGACACCTACGTTACACTAACTAGGAGCGCGCTTCTTTCTGAAAAAAAAAGACATTCTGAAATGAGCCCACATAGAAAAGTGGGCTGGTCTGCTCATTCTTTGTGTTCGTACATTTCTTCATTCTTGCAAGACAAAGAACACCTCCACTAGACTAGTGATGGAGGGGATTCGCGCCGGATGGAACAAGGCGCTTTGAACCATAGACTACTTTTGCTGGAATGAAACGCAGCCTCGGAACAGAATTCTGCTGCTTGCTGGGCCCTGATGGTGGAACTGGCATTTTTGGGGGGATGAAAGCGGCCCCCTTTTGCGGCAGAGTGGGCAGCATCGCTTTCCCTCGTGTAGCTATGATGCCATGAATAAAAAACACAAGAAGAAAAGCGCTAGCCCGATCATTTTTAGGACTTTTTGGGATGGGCCGGCCCGTGCATGTAGGCTTGGTCATTCGGGCCTTGGGCACCTGTGGGCCGATGCGTAGAATTTGGGTGCGTCATTTGACGACTCAGTGCATGGATGTCACGAGTCCATTGGCATAGGCTTAGGCCTATTTCGTAAGTGAGCAGTTTTTGGCAGGCCTGGAGATGGAAAGTGGAAATATGCCCATTTTTTCATAGTTCAGGTAAGAAAGCCGCTAATAGGCAACAGGACATACGCTACTGGATAAAGTCTGCTAGCCACTAGTCCAGGAAGAAAGGAAATGAAAGAAATCCAGATATTTTCGTGAGCCTAGAGAAAGAGATTGACCGGGGGTCAGATGCATACCGCATACCCGATCCCGCTGCTCTGGACCCTTTCTCCTTTTCCGCTTGCTCTCTTTGCCCGAGAACCAGCTATCCATGCAACCCATTCCCGACTATAGACTCTCGAAGGCATGTCCCCCCTCAATCCATCTATTAGACCTATTCTCTTAGGGTATTAGCTAACGCTACCTAAGGCGCTATAAGGCAATAGATAAGGTAACGAGAAAACAAACCCTACTTGGGAATCTTCTCTAGCGCCTCTCCTTATCAGTCGAGTGGCCTAACGGCTCCTTAATCGAAGAGCTCAGCTAGCGCCTTTAGATCCTGTTTCGAAACCTGATAGTAGAGTGGGCATTCGCCTCCTCTTTCTTCTCTTTTGTCCCATTTCAGCCGCCGATTCATGTAAGATTTTGGCATGAAGGGGGAGAAGCCGATGTCCCTCCACTCCAGGAGCAGACTCTTACTTCACACTTTCTGAAACTGCTAAAGGACAGGAAGCATCCAAAGCAATCCAACGGAAAGCTAGAACGAGAGTGCTTAGCGGGATTTGTCAGAGGATCATCAATGAGCGTAGCTTGACTGACCTCGCACCGAACTAGAATAGAATTCCCTTATGAAAGAGTAGCCCAATACCTACAATACAAGAAATGCGCTCTGGCAAACCTTCCGGGAATCACTCGATCTCTTGGATGGGAAGAGCCCACCCCTTTCTTTCCCCCTAACGAAAAAAGACCCGCATTACTTGCACGCTTCGCGCCTCTGGTCTTCTTTCATCTGATAGAATGTCTGAAAAAAAAGTCTCGTTGGTCAACATTTTCTGAACTCGATGTAGAGAGATACCCAAACCATATCGAGAGGTACGGCTCCATACCATACATAGTAAACAGCTATCGGCGGCTAGACTTCGAGCCCTATGGTAATGAGTCACGGGGAGCTAGTTCTCTCACTTTTGCCCAACTACAGGTTGGACCATATGTCGGAGATCAAAATTTCTTTGTCCGACCAACCTAATGGTTGCCTTAGATGAATGCATAGAGTCTCAGGGCGGCTTGACGCTCTCCCACGAATTGAAAACCTGAACGCAGCGAAGGAAAGGGGGCGAAGGCCTCCTATCTTGAAATCAAAGAAGAAAGCTCCGGTCCTTCGCCACTACCACTACTAAGATTGATGTATCTTCGACGTATCGCCGCCGTCCACCACCGCCCATTGTTGGCCGTCGCTGAGCATTGCTTTTGAAGATTGCGTCTACCGCCCCATAATCGAAGGCGATCTTTCCATTTCTTCCATCAGTTTCAACATGAGAGATCGCTTTTGCCAGCTCAGAGATAGTCAATTTCTGTGACCCTTCTTCCCCATCGTGTTTTGGGTTTGGGGGTACAGTTGAGACTTTCTCGCTGTTTCTGAGTTGGGAGTGGGGGTCTAGTGGGAGTTTTCTTTTCTTGTTGTGAATCTGTTGCGAAACTGCTAGAAATCTGGTGTCACTACGTGCCTTGTTTTTTTGAGCTTACTGTGTTGGAAATCCGGAAGAAGTGAGTAGTCTGAGCTTGTGCACTCCACCTATTTGATGTTTTTTTTGCTGCTGAGAAGTTTTCATGAGATTGGCACAAACAAATGAGAGTTATTCTGGAATCAAAGTTGAACCGTTCTCAGCTTGCTACACTAAGGAGATCACCTGCTTGACTGACAAATAGGATGAATACAACTGAGAAACTGAGTATGGAAGCTAGCTGGAAGGATAGTGCAAGAAAGCAGCAGCCAGCAGATTTCATGAATTCTTTCCATGAGAATTCATGAAATCTGGAGGAGTGGAAAAGGCGCTAGAAGAGATTGGATTCTGTGCCAGATATTGGTTCTCTTCTTCCTGAAGATGAATTCAAAGAAGGAGTTCAAATGTGGGAAAATGCATTGATTTGTGGGT